TGTGATCTCATGTAATTCTCACTTCAACCCTGAGGTTGGTACCCATACATGGTAGTCATTATTGCTACTCAACCAGTACTTTGGACTCTACGTTTTTCAGGCACATAGTAGGGATGTACTTACTGGATCCCTGTGGTTGAGTGGGACTATGGGACTAATTTTGTCCAATAAATTATGAACAGAAGTGATGATGTATGTGCTTCCAAACCAGTGTGCTTAACTGTTGTTATGAGACCCTCTAGAGCTTTCTCTCTCTCTGCAACTGGGACTAGCAATGTTCTATAATTAACCGTAATCCTGGAATAAGGAGACAAGAAACAGAGCTCCCATCAGGCCCACAATGAACATGTAGTACAAACACAAAAAAAGCCTTTGGTATTTTAAACCACTGGGGTTTGGAATTACTTGTTCCAGCAGAAACTAAGTAAGGTTCAGAGAATGACCTACTTGAGGTTATGTGGCCAGTAAGAGATGAAACTGGAATTTGAACTAAAGTTTGTTTTCATCTCTTCTACTACATTAACTATTCCTCAAGTACAGGGACCCTGTGCCCAGATTGCTATAGTTGTTTAAAATTTTAATGAAGTCCAAAGGATAAGAGGTCCAATGCCAAGGACAGTGAGACCACCTTCTCCTTCATTAGCCACCCTTTCTACTTCTAAATATCCCAAAGAAATTACGTTGGGTCAAAAGATAGGGTTCTCCTCTCATATTCAGATATTAAAGGCCAGGAGAGAGCTATTCGCCTTGATCTCTCAGTCCTTTAAAATCTAGATATTTCACTCAGCTGTAAAACTGACTGAGCAGCTCCTAGTCACAATAAGATGACTAAATACAAAGATCTTATATCCTGAAGTAATTGAAAGTTCACTGGGCACCAGCCAGACTCACTGTAATTTTATCCTCCTGCTCTAACAATTAGTCAGTACCTAGAATCAGACTTCATAGATACCATGCTCTAATTTTAACTAATCAATGAATATTATTTATATATAATATAATCTATTTTTAATACCAATTTGCTATGATGCTAGAAGAATCTATGTCCCCTCCAGTGGCCCAGACATGATGCCCTGGACCTAAGGAGCAGGAACTGTAGTAATAGCTCACTTTCTTTACCTAGAAGTAAATAATATGGGCATTATCATAACAACAAGCTTGTAGGGACAATCTGTGAACAAATTTTGTCTGTGGTTTTGGAACAGACTATAAACATAAACAATTCACAACGTAAAACAAAGGTATGTATCAATAGCGACTTGATGCAAAGAAGTCCAGAGAGAAGGGTGGAAGAAAGGGTAAGATGATCAGAATCCTCATAAAGAGAGTAGGAGACGCTAACTAGACTGAAAAACACTAACTGACGCCTAGAATCCATACTTCCTTCTTCCCGTAGTTTATCAAAAGTTGATGAGTAAATATTGTATTTAATTTTGCAAAAGTGAACAATAGGGAAATTAAAATATGAACGGATAATATTGGTGGACAGAATGATAAACAGTAGATAAATCCTTACCTTTCATAACTGCATATTGTCTAAAATTGACAAATCAATAAAATATAACTACATTAAAATTACAGAAGTAATTATGAAAAGAATAATGATTTTTTGAAAAAGTGTTACTTCAGAGGAGTGAGAGAGGGAAGGACATAGTTGGAGGCTATTGCTTTTGACCTTAGATTCCCCTGTACAAAACACCATGTACAAAAATAAAGCTTATACATACAAAAAATAAAAACTTTAGAAAAATAGTGCCGCAAAGAACTGTTTTAGCTAAAGAAAAACTTGCCAATGAAGGCTGGTTAAATCCTATGCTTGGGCCTATAAACTACAATACCAACGTCTAACATTAAAAGACTATTTTTAATAAGTTAAATATAAGCCCTAAAAATACACATCCTTAAACCATACTTGAAATATGTTACATCAGAACCTTGTCGTCATTTCAGGAATAAAAACTTTTAGCACTGCAAACTTCGAGTAAATATTTATTCTTGTATCAGAATTTTAGCATTCTTTTTCCCATGTTTACTTTCTGTTTTATAAAATAAGAAAACTATTAAATAAAATTCTAATGATGGTATGCAGTATATGCAGTATTTTGTATCTAATATAGCAGATAAAAGAGAAATTTTATGTGCTTCTTCTATGCCACTGAAAAGTGAATCTTAGTGGCCTCTATTAACTGTCCTGTATATCAATGTCGGGCTTAAAAGGAAAGAGAAGTCCTAAATGAAGTCATAAGATGAAAATAAAAAAAAATTTGCAAAATGTTCTTTCTACTTTATACTACAGTGGTTTTCTTTATTAATTTGACGTGAATAAAACATGTTTTAAAAAGAATTTGGGTATTCCATCTGCACTTTAAACTACTTATATCTGAAGCGCAATTCATCTTTCTTTTTCTATTAATTTATTCTTCTTGTATTTCTTTTTTTGGGGGGGTGGGAGAGAGATTTTCGCTATAGGGCTCATGTGCTCACCAGACAGACAGAGAGACAGAAAGTGAGAAATCACCCCCCAGAGGGGATGGTCATGCCGCAATCCCTTCTCCTCCATTCTCCTCTCGGGATCTTGGGCACGCATGCAC